TATTCTATTCTATTCTATTCTATTCTATTCTATTCTATTCTATTCTATTCTATTCTATTCATGTTTTGACTGCAGCTCTTCCTCTGTCCCTCAGGGTTATTCTCACCACCCATAACACCCATTTCCCTAATGATAGGACCGGGTCCCAGAGCTCTTTCTTCCATACCAGCTCATCAGGGTTAGCGTTCTTCAGATCTGCTTCTATATTCTTTGATTTAGACCTGCGACGTTCCCGATTCTCCTTCTCTAAGGCTGGCAGTCGATCGGCCTCCTTCATCTCAGAGCCCAGCAGAAGGGGCACTTCAGGGAATTCTGCAACCAGGAGGGAGAAAAAAATGTATACTTTTTGCTTGCAAATGTGCAGGAAACAAGGGTCAGGAGATCTGGGAGAAGGAAATTGAATATCGGGGGGCGGGTAAAACTTAACCATTTGTGTCCCAGTGAGAGTCTTCGGAGCACGATTCCGTCCGGGAATTCTTTAAAGTTTCTTGCAGCTGCTTCTTCAGGGCCAAATTCTCTCTCAGAAGCTCCTCCGATCGGTAAGAAAGCTGCTCCCGTTCCTGGGGAATTGAAATTTGAACCATGAGGTTGAGTCTGTCCTTCCCTATTTCCCCCCTCTGGTTCTCCGTCTCCTCTCTTTGCTTTCAACCGGACTCAAATATGGAGAACTTAAGAAATTGCAAGGTTTTGCCTCCATACTTTTTTCTGTCCAGAAAACATTGATCATCTAGTTCAGACAGCGGAGCCACGGGCTGCTACAACGAATCTATCCACTCCTGCAAATTTAATTTTTTTTTTTTAAGGAGAATTGTAGTACAAGGTGAAACAATTACAGCTAAACCTGTATATGCAGCAAACTGGACTGTAAACCCCATCGAGTCCAACGGTTGTTCTCTAGCCAATTGCACAACCTGATTTAGTCAATTGCGCAACCGGAAGCTAGTCAATTTCACAACCGGAAGCTAGTCAATTTCAGAACCTGATCTAGTCAGTTTCACAGCAGAGGTGGAAAAAAAATCCATCAACTGATTTCCTTTTTTTTTTTTATTAACGTAAGTAGCATTTACCTTAGGGTTAGGTCTTACTTCCAGAGATGCGCGTGGGCTCTTAATTTTAAGTCAAGGCCATGGTTGTGTAAAAGCTTTTTTTCTATCCAGCCAGTTTGGATCGTGAAACTTCGTTCTCAGTGAAGGGAGGGGCAAAAGGATCCCTTTCCCCCTTTTAATTGCCCGGGAAATTAAAAATTAATCCCTTTCTTCAAAGAATTAAAACCTCAGATCGCTTTCCCAGACTCCAAGTGTGAAGAAAGCTAAAAGGCAACTCTCCGATGTTCTGATTTTATTAAATAAGAATTACGTGTACTTCAAGAACGTAAGGTGACTAGAAACAGCCCAATTTCTCCAGGGATGTTTTTCCCAATTCTCACCCACCTGGTCTCTTCTTCTCCCCCACTTCCCAAATAGCCCCCCAATATTCCAAGCTTGCCCTCCTTAACGAAGTTTCTCCAGTACGAAAGGGGACAGAGAGATACTGCAAATGGGAAAACAACAACAACAACAAAATAGCTTGGAAGGAACCATCTTCTTTCTCAACCTGACCTCTTGGATCTGGTTCAAGTGGTTTTGCAGATTCAAGTTTTCTTTCTCCGCTCGACTCAGGCGCTGGCCCCGGGCGTAAGCGGCGTCTAGTTCTTCCTCCATGGTGGCTTTTGCTTCCAACAGGGCCTTGGAGAAGTCGCGCTCCTCCTGGGGATCAAAATGACTTATTTAAGCCCCAAGGCCAGGTCTCAGCTCTCTTCTGCAAGAACCTGTGAATGCAGCCTTGCAAGAAAAGTTATCCCAAAGATGCTTTTTCAGGAGGCAACTGGACTTTGTTTTTTCTTTGAAGACGTTTCGCTTCTCCACCAAGAAGTTTCTTCAGCTCTGACTGGATGGTGGGGAAGGGAAGGATTTATACTCCTTGCAGACAGCTGGTCATTTGCATCCTTTTAGAGAGTCGTTGAGGCCACTTGGAAGTTTGTCTGCGTCCTCAGGGTCACCTGAGTGGTGCAAATGGGTGTAGAGCCTTCTTGGAACTGCTGAAAGGATTGTGTTCCACACCCATTTGCACCACTCAGGTGACCCTGAGGAAGCAGGTAAACCTCCAAGTGGCCTCAACGACTCTCTAAAAGGATGCAAATGACCAGCTGTCTGCAAGGAGTTCCCACCTACCAGATCCATGGCCAAAACGACATCCCCACCTTGAGCTGCGCTCGGCATCGTTCCAAAGCTGGCATCCTTTCCCTCAGGGCCGTCAGCTCCGACTGAAGCCGCTCTGCCCGAACTGCCTTCTCTCGCAAGGCATCCAATTCATCCTGGTATAGTCTGGCTTGGCGCGCTTCGCCCACCAACGTGCGGTTCTGGGTAAGAAGGGGCAAATTTAGAGACTGCATGTCAGAATGAGGTTCACGCTTGCCGATGACACGCCTGTCGTTCGGGCATCAGCCTAGAAATTCAAGATTCAAACCTAGAAAGAAGGAGAAATTTTTCTGACAGTGGGAACAATCAACCAATGGAACAGATTGCCTTCAGAGGTTGTGGGAGCTTCATCACTGGAAGCTTTCAAGAACATCTGTCAGAAATGGTGTAGGGTCTCCTGCTTGGGCGGGGGGGAGGTTGGACTAGATGACCTGCAAGGTCCCCTCTAACTTTGCTATTCTATTCTATTCTATTCTATTCTCTATTCTATTCCTATTATTATTCTATTCTATTCTATTCTATTCTATTTTTCCTTATTCTATTCTATTCTATTCTATTCTATTCAATTCTATTCTATATCCTATTCTATTCTATTCCTATTATTATTCTATTCTATTCTATTCTATTCTATTTTTTCTCTATTCTATTCTATTCTTATTCTATTCTATTATTTCTTATTCTATTCTATTCTATTCTATTCTATTCTATTCTATTCTATTCTATTTTTCTTTATTCTATTCTATTCTATTTTACAGTATATTCTATTCTATTCCTATTATTATTCTATTCTATTCTAATTATTCTATTCTATTCTAATTTCTCTTCTCCTATTCTATTCTATTCTATTCTATTCTATTCTATTCTATTCTATTCTATTCTATTCTATTCTATTCTATTCTATTGTCACTTTGGTTGTTTACAAATTCCCGCATCATCCTTTACTCAATCCACAAATAGCTGAACTGGCGCTAGAAGATACAGGTAGTCCTCGACGTTACGACCACAATTGAGCCCAAAAGGTTCTGTTGCTAAGTGAAACGTTTGTTAAGTGAGTTAACACCGACATCATTTAATCCAGGGCTTCTAAAATCAGATTTAACTAGAGAGGAAAGCACCTCTTGCTGCAACTTTCGAAGCTCTTTCTCCAAATTCCTTGATTCCTCTTGTTGGTCCAGCAGCTCCTCCATCTTCATCTCCCTGAAACAAGAGACTGGAAGGTCACCTCATCGAAATAATGGGTTTAGGGGACAACTGCGCATTGAAGTGAGGCTGCTCAAACCTCTAGAAGCCAAGCCACGAGGAAGCCTGGAGGGGATGTCCTGATGGAGGTGATGATAGGCAACAGAAAGGCCTGGAGTTCAAGTTCCACCTCAGTCAAAGATGGGTGGACTTCAACTCCCAGAATTCCCCAGCCCACAAGACTTAAAGAGAGAATTGGAGGCGAAGGCAAGAAGACAGGAAGAAGGAAAGAAAAAGAATTGGAGAGGAAAGAAGGAAAGAGAAAGGAGGAGAAGGGAGAGAAAAAGGGAAGGAAGGAAGGAAGGAAGGAAGGAAGGAAGGAAGGAAGGAAGGAAGGAAGGAAGGAGAGAATTGGAGGGAAAGGCAAGAAGACAGGAAGAAGGAAAGAAAAAATTGGAGAGGAAAGAAGGAAAGAAAGGAGGGGAAGGGAGAGAAAGAAGGAAGGAAGGAGAGAATTGGAGGGAAAGGCAAGAAGAAAGGAAGAAGGAAAGAAAAAATTGGAGAGGAAAGAAGGAAAAACAGGAGGGGAAGGGAGAGAAAGGGAAAGGAAAGAAGGAAGGAAGGAAGGAAGCAGAATCTCTTGCAGTGACTTCTGTTACCCCAAACCCCCTTCCAGCCCCTCCACATTCCCCACCTCGACCCCACAACTCACAGCTCGCCTTGTAGACGCCGCACTTGGGCTTGACGTTCGGCAAGCTGAACCCCGAGGTGGGACTGGTTACTTTCCAGCTGGGCCGCTAAAGGGGGTCCCTCTTTCTGCTGCAGCTCCCACAATTGCTGTGCAGGAAGGAATAATAATAATAATAATAATAATAAAAAGAGGTGGGAGGTCCAAGATGCCCTCCCTCCCTCTGAGGTACTAAGGACCACAATGGACGGTGAGAATCTTTCCAAGGGCCTTTTCTTATGCAGATACTCCTGGAGTTACAACTTACAAATTTGTTTAGCAAGCACTCAGGACTGAAAAAAGGCAAGTCCTCGCCTTTTACGACCGTCGCAGCATCCTCACGGACATGCGATCAGAAGCCAGTTGCTAGGCAACCAGCATGTACTTATTATGACGGTGGCAGCATCCTGGGCTGAGGTGATTGCCGTTTATGACCTGCTCCGGACCAGCTTCCTACGAGCAAAGTCAACGGGGCAATCTGGATTCGCTTAACGTCCGCATGGTTCACTAAACAGCCGCGGGGATTTGCTTAGCAACGGTGGCAAAAAGGGGGTAAAATCAGGCCTGGCTCCCTGAACTTGCTTAGGAACGGTTATAACTCAAGGACTACTGTAAGGCAGAACTTGCGTTCCTGGTTGTGCTTATCGTCTGGTCTACCTCGCAAGGCTGGCGTGGCCTGGGCCAAAGCTAGGGTCCGATCTGATGGCTGGACTGGGGATCTGAAGGCCGTCCTTGTGAGAAGAAGGCGGGACAAGGAACGGTCACGACTCTCACCTCCAATCCTGCATCTCGCTCGGAGACCAGCTTTTGAACTCGGGCCCCAAGATCCCACAGGAGCTGCTGCATGCTGGCTGGGTCCATCTCCCTCCACTGCAGTCCCAGGACATTTTCTGGCTCCTGGCTAACCTGGAAAGAAGAGCCAGGAGTTTATTGCTAGAGACCAGATATTTATTTGCACTTCTGTTTGTTGATGTTTAGGCAAGGAAAACCCAAACGCACAGGTATAGTATAGGGGGTACCTTGCTCAATAGTAGTAACTGAGAGGGATCTCGGAGTCCTAGTGGACGATCCCTTAAATAGGAGCCAGCCGTGTGTGGCAGCTGCCAAAAAAGCCAACACAGGCTAGGCTGCATCAATAGAAGGATAGAATCAAGATCAGGTGAAGTGTTAATACCACTTTTTAACACCTTGGTAAGGCCACACCTGGAATACGGCACCCAGTTTTGGTCACCACGATGTAAAAAAGATGTTGAGACTCTAGAAAGAGCACAGAGAAGAGCAACAAAGATGATTAGGGGACTGGAGGCTAAAACATATGAAGAACGGTTGCTGGAATTGGGTATGTCTAGTTTAACGAAGAGAAGGACCAGGGGGGACAGGATAGCAGCCTTCCAGTATCTCAGGGGCTGCCCCAGAGAAGAGGGAGTCAAGCAACGGACGGAAACTAACCAAAGAGAGAAGCAACTTAGAATTAAGGAGAAATTTCCTGACAGTTAGAACAATTAACCAGTGGAACAACCTGCCTCCAGAAGCAGTGAATGCTCCAACACTGGAAGTTTTTAAGAAGAGACTGGACAGCCATTTGTCTGAAATGGGATAGGGTTTCCTGCCTGAGCAGGGGGTTGGACTAGATGACCTCCAAGGTCCCTTCCACCTTTATTATTATTATTATTATTATTATTATTATTATTATTATTATTATTATTATTATTATTATTATTATTATTATTATTATTATTATTATTATTATTATTATTATTATTATCCCTGAAACCTCAAAGTCTATGGAGATTCTCAATCATCCAGGTCATGGTTGTTGTCCCAAAGGTGCTCCCCCCCCCCAAAAAAAAAAGATTTGATTTGGATCCTAAAATCTAAGTTGGATGCAGAACTGAAGAAGCTTCTTGAAGGAGAAGCGAAACAACTACATGTAAAGATAGTTTTTTCCTCTGTGCACACCTAATTCCCACAGCACCGTCTTAGGCCTAAAGACTACGTATCCATGTAGTAGGTTTTATTGCTATGATCCTTCTGATCTTTCTGCTCTTCTCTTTTCTCCTCTTCTCCTCTTTCCTCCTACCTTCTCCTATTGGCATCTTATGATTTATCACTTGTCTGTATCTTAAGATTAATGACTGCTAACCACGATTGATGGCTTTGGTTGTTTGTATGTACACTGAGAGCTTCTGCACCGGAGGCAAATTCCTCGTGTCCAGTCATGCTTGGCCAATAAAGAACAATTAAAAAAAAAGGTTTTCAATGAAAAAAAAAATCAAGAAAGTCCAGTTGCCTTTTGGAAAAGCAGCTTTGGGACCTGCAACCTCGATTTTCTCTTTTGCATCTCTCCAGGAGTTTTTGCTTTCCAACTGCAGCAAACTCATTTGAGCTGCAGGGGAGGAATAATTAACAGGATGCGCCGCGAGAAAGCATATTTCTCCCTTTTTTTTGCTGCAGCGAAGAATAGAAGATTTTATGGAAGAGCGAGTCGGCCGCTTAATTCACCCTATAACTAAGCAACTGCAGTTCACACACGTCAACCATCTTAATTCTTTCCTTTTCGTCCGCACGCATTTCGTTCAACGCCAGCTCCGTTCAGTTCAAGGTCTTCTAGGATTTAAGCTGATCCGGGTGAAGCTGCCTGTTGCAATTGACCGACAGTGGATTTGTCCATGCCGACGGTATTCAAACAGTACTCCAGATGTTTTTATTATTATTATCATTTGCATTCCATCTCACTCCCAGCAACTCCGAGCAATTTACACGTGAAATATTGAAAACATTTAGGAGTAGCCCGGCCTTTCCGCTCCTCCCTTTGGAGATGGAAATAATTACATTTCTTAATTGTCTCATCGTTTACCTCTCTGATCGCGGACGCCAAAGCTGCTTGCACGCTAATGTCCAGCGACTGGATTCGGCCAATGAACACATCTCGCTCTTCACACTGTTGGAAGTTCAAAGAAAAGAGTCAACATCTGCATATGCCCAGGAAACTGCAAACCGATTAAAGATCTCACCCCTGTTGTTAGATTCCCACAACCTACCTGAACGGCGCTTCCTAGCAACAGCTGTACCAATTTCTTCATCTCCTGAACGGCCTCCACTGAAACGGGAAGACCAAGATTAAAAACCTCGTTGCAAATATATTGTTTTTCTCTGTCCTTTTTTCCCTTCAAGTTGCTCCTATTTTTGCAGCCCGGATTTTAATGAAAAGAAGGACCAGGGTGACATGATAGCAGAGTTCCAATATTTGAGGGGCTGCCCCAAAGAAGAGTGGAGTCCACGTATTCTCCAAAGCACTGGAAGGCAGGACAAGAAGCAACAGATGGAGACTAATCAAGGAGAGAAGCAACCTGGAACCAAAGAGAAATTTCCTAACAATTAACCAGTGGAACGACCTGCCTCCAGAAGTTGTGAATGCTCCAACACTGCAGGCTTTTAAGAAGAGACTAGACAGTCCCTGGTCTGAAATGATATGGGGTCTCCTGCTTGAGCAGGGGGCTGGACTAGAAGACCTCCAAGGTCCCTTCCAACTCTTGTTATTCTGTTAGATTTGGACGAAGGATTCCTAGACTGACAGCCGTAAAACCAGGGTGAAGGATGTTGCTTGTAAGTTTTTCGAGTAAGGGAACACAAAGTCTTTTATCTGACTATCTTTCACCGCCTAAATTCCTCCCCTGTCCCTGGGCCTTACCTGTGAAGGGCTCTCTGACCATTAGATGGAGATTTGGAGGTGGGGAAAGGATCACCTGGTGGAGCTCATCCTGGGACAAGAAAAAAAAGNCCCAGAATTCCCCAGCCAGCATGCTTGAAGATGGGTGGACTTCAACTCCCAGAATTCCCAAGCCAGCATGCATAAAGATGGATGGATTTCAACTCCCAGAATTCCCCAGCCAGCATGCATAAAGATGGATGGATTTCAACTCCCAGAATTCCCCAGCCAGCATGCTTGAATATGGGTGGACTTCAACTCCCAGAATCCCCCAGCCAGCATGCTTGAAGATGGGTGGACTTCAACTCCCAGAATTCCCCAGCCAGCCTGCTTTAAGAGGGGTTGACTTCAACTCCCAGAATCCCCCAGTTAGCAATGTAAAGATTTGCGTTCTCCCTTTAAACGTGTTATCTAAAATCCGTGCATTGCTCACCTTGAATTAAGCATCGTTCACGCTGTGCATTCTAACAACGCAAGCCCGAACTTGCTAGTTTTGCAGAAAACATACAATTTCTATAAATATATTTGTTTAGTTAAAATATCAAACAGCGAACTGGGTGCAGGGCCAGCCAGCCAGCCAGCCAGCCTGCCTCCAAAACTTGTTTTTCTAATTTTTATTTTTATTTTTATTTATTTTTTTTTTTTTAAAAAAAGGCATAAGTGTTTTCATCCTGGCAACTCCACACCCCTCCTCGCCTTTACCGGTGGTGAAAATGTCTGGTTTTGGTTTTGTCTTTTTTAAAGAAAACGGTGGGTCTTTGAAGAGCAAGCCTCCCATCAAAAATGGGGTTTTTAATCTTAGAAATTCTGCACAAGAGACATTGGAGAATTCTGCCAGAAGCTACGAGGGTTCAGCCACGCTAGGAAACCAAGATCTGCTGTCATGTTGTGTGTCTTAGCGCCGCCGGCAAAAGCGTGACTCACATCATTTGCATGACTTGGTGGAGGAAATCTCCATGAACCAGTTTTCGGAAATATTTGCTCGCCTCTCCCTCTCCTTGGAGAAGTTGGTGGAGGCTCCTGCCAACCAGATCCTCCAGCGTCTGCATCTGTGGGACCAAGACATCAAGGCAAGGATGATCCAAAATAGCAGTCTGGGACTCGCTTTACGACTGCCTTGCAGAACATAGTGGCCATAACTCAAGGACTATCTGTAATCGGTTCCTGAGTTTGCCCGGCACATCAAAACCTCAACTATTTAAACCAGCTTATTGTCTCAGCAGACTGGAGATGAGTGTTTATTGGCTAAAACAAATTTTAATGCAAGTGTCTCATCTTTGGGACTCAAGGCTCCATCATCCACACCCTTTGGGTCTGCCTGGAGTCGACGCATTTCAAAACAAAGGTAAACTTAGCTTAGGTTGAGTCCATCGCTTGGGTCTCTGGTCTACTTCTTGATGGTGGGAAGTCAAAATGTGGTGATACAAGGAAGAAGGGAGGACAGATGGGATGGGGGCTCAAAAATAGGGGGGTGCCCAACCTTGGTGGGCCTCCAGGCCTCCAAAACTCTTCAGCCCCCCAGACCCAAATCCAAAATAAGTCCCCTCCCCAATCAAGCTTGTTGATCTACACCATGGACAGAGTTAAGGATGTCATCAACCAAGTTCAAGGATTTAGATCAATGTCTATCAATGTTGACAACTTGAAGATGGGTGGACTTCAACTCCCAGAATTCCCCAGCCAGCATGCATGCATGCTGGCTGGGGAATTCTGGGAGTTGAAGTCCACCCATCTTCAAGTTGACAAGGTGAAGACATGTTGGTTAGATAGAGTCCTGTCAAGATGTCTGTGTCGAGAGAATTCTCTGAACAGCCCATCACAAGTCCAGCCCTGCCCTGAACACTTCCTCCCTGCCCCACAAGTGAGGCTCACCCAGGTGACCAAGGGCCCGGATACGAATTCCTCCATCGCTTCAAGCCCATCTTCATCCATGGTGTGGTCAAGACGATGTCTCCTTCTCCATCTAGGGCTCCTGGAGGCCTTAGGTATGCCTGCGATCGACCGGCATCGTTGGGGTGTTTTACGCCTTCCTTCCGTAATCTGGGTTTTTTTTGGGGGGGGGGTTAAACAGTTGAGGAGGAAGCTGTGTTGCTTCAGTCAAAGCTCTAAATTACATCCTTCGTGGTGTGGTCTTTCCCAACACGGTAGACAGGAAGTCCTCAAAATGAAACTTAGATTGTTGAAACTTCTGCAGGACTCAAAAGAGACGTTAATTTTCACGAGCGACGGCATCAAAGAGAATTTGCTAGGACTAGTTTTCCGAAGCTGGGCTGACTTTTTCTTGACTCGCTGCTGGAAAAAATGACACAAATTGTGGTCAGGGCCCACACAGAGAAGCTTGAATAGTGTCATCACAAGTGTGGTCTCCTGTTTGTCAGCAGGTGTTTTATTTATTGAGTTTGACTTTCCACCACAAACAAATTCAATTCCATTTCTCGGCACGCTTCACTCTGGGTCAAAAAACCTCTGGAGTTGAGCTAGGATACGGATGCAAATCCACGTTCAGGGAAGATTTGAAACACGGTTAAAGAATAGCAGCTAGAAGAAATCACAACGCAGCCAAAGTCATCTATTGTTAAATTTTTAACAGCATCAGATGTCTTTGTGGGAGCCCTTTGCAGACGACAAAGCTACGGGTAATCTAAGCCCAACA